TATAAATTTATCTAACTAACTTATTATAATAAATTTATCTAACTACATTATTATTGTTATTTTAATATTAGGAGGTTTATTTTGTCATAATTTGTAATAAAATTTTAAATTAATTTGTATGTTCTTTTTTTTTTTAGCTTTTAAGACCCAAACCGAAAAGAACCTAAAGTGGTTTTCAAAAGATGAATTGACGAATTTCTTAATTCTTTTTGTTTCGTTGTGATAATTTGTCGTATGAGAACGCTAACGAGAAAAAAATTTTTAAATATAGAAACATGCGTAATATAAAGTAAACATAAACAATACGTTTACTTATGCCTATAAAAAAATACATGTTTTACATTAAAATTGTATTCTGTATTAAAGTTTATTTCTGAGAATTTGTAATTATACCTAAGATAATCTAATCCTACATTGTATTTTAATTTATAAAACTCGATATTTTAAAATAAATATATTACTTTTTTATCGCGCTTGTCTTATTTCGCGTTTATTGGTTAAAAATTTTTAAGACGTTTATAAACTTTTGAAACTTTTATAGCAAAAATAAAAAATCGTTTTTAAAAAAACTTCCAGCGAATCTATTTTTATACATAAACATGAAAATTCGCTAGAAAAGTTCACTGGAAGTTCGCTGGGTTTTGGAACAAGTTCGCTGGAAATTTCCAGCGAACTTCCAGTGATCTTTAAAGATCACTGGAAGTTCGCTGGAAGTTCGCTGGGTTTTGGAACAAGTTCGCTGGAAATTTCCAGTGAACTTTAGAGATCACTGGAAGTTCGCTGGAAAAGATCACTGGGTTTTGGAACTTTGTTCACTGGAAGTTCGCTGGGTTTTTTTGTAAGGGCAACCATCTACGGCAAAAGGTTTCTTCATTTGCAAGTTTTCTATTATAATAAATACTAGAAATTTCAAAAAAAAGACCAAGTTTGATTAAATAATTTACAATATTGCTAAATCGAACAATTGGCCACTTTCCACAACCCAATAAACAAGGTGCTTCTTGTAAAAAATCTTCCAATAAATCATTTGATTCTTTTAAAATAACTGGTTCATTATCTACTTCAATTTGCAATGAAGTTATACAATTATTTTTTAGTATTATTGAAGGTTCTACAACTTTATAGGACCTAGTCGTAGATATAGTTGAAGCATCAGGGTTGAAATCTTCACGACCTTCGTCAGGTTTTTTATAAGCAACATATTTTTCAATGCTCATGAATTTTTTAATTTTTTTAAATTTTTGATCTTTCTCGGACTTTCTTTTTCTGTACTCATACCCAGACAACTTTTTTCTCGAAATTTAAATATTATGTGACATGAGAAAGATTATTTTTTATTCGTAATATAAAATTATTTCTATA